ATTTTTATGGGAAATTTGGCATCTTTTTATAGTAAAAAACACACTGATTTGGAAATTCCTTCAAAAATCAGATAATTGCCAGATTTTAATGAAATTTGGCATCTTTTTATAGTAAAAAACACATTGATTTGGAAATTCTTTCAACAATCAGATAATTGCCAGATTTTAATGAAATTTTCAGGACTTATTCAGAAAATGATATAAATTACTTCTGAAACATTTCTTTTTTAAAATAACTTGGTAAAAATTTATTTTTTCTAAAATCTGTTACCTCCCCTCCCCATTTATTTAATTTTATGAAATTTCAAGAAATTCTTTTTTTTTAACACTTAAATATTTACATTAATTATAATTCAAATAATCAATATCTTTGGTTAACAGGACCCTTAGTCTACTGTTGATTGCAATTAGCTTGAATATAATAGCTTATTGAAGATGCATCTAGCACAATAATAAGCATATTTAACTTTTTTTTTAATCATTTCACCCCAGGCAAGGTGATAATGCCACTAGGATGCAAGAGGGTTACAGGAAGTGAAAGAGAATGAGAAGATTTTAATGTGAAGTGAGAAAAGGAGAAAAATAGGAAACAGGAAAATATGAGATGGCAATTGATGTTGCATTTAAATTTTTGAAGATTGTAGATGGCAGGGAAGCAAGAAATTGGGAAGGAGTTCCACAGGTGAGAAGTGTGAGAAAAGAAACTGTTAGAATAGAAATTGTGGTTGCATCTAGCTTGTTCAACAGTAAAATGGTGAGACTTAGTTGCTAATCTAGCAGCACATTTAAATTCACATAGTTGAGGCACTCTGGACAAAAGCTTGTCAGAACAGTTGCCATGAAAATATTTGTAGAAAAGAGAGAAGGAAGCCCCATTACGTTAGTGGGAAAGTGACTGAAGTTGAAATGCCAGATCAGGATTAGAGATCTTTTTTTGAATTTTGTAGAGAATCTCAAGATGTACAGCAAGAACACTAGACCAGATATAGCACCAGTATTCAGTGCATGGATGAATGGTAGATTTATAAATGTGCAAAGGGGATTCTGGCAAGAGGAATTGTCTGGTACGACACAGTGAGCCTACTTTCCTAGCAGTAGATCTTGCGATTGATTCAATATAGTCACTTCACTTCAGGTCAGTGGAAAACCTGAGCTGAAGAAGGTGCAAAGTGTTGCTCTTCTGGAGGTTAGCATCAGGCAGAAAAGCTTTTCTGAGGTGATTGAATAAAACCAGTTTTGCTTTAGAGGCATTAAAATATTTAAGCCAATCCTTGCTACAGTTAACCACTGATTAGAGGCCCTTTTAGTGAGCATTTACCCGTTTTACTTTGTCAGATCTGTTGGATTTGCTACTAAAGAGTAAATGGTTGTGTCATCTGGATAGACACCTAGATCAGAACCAATGACATCGAGGGATGGGGAGGTTGTTGACGAACAGCATAGGTCTGAGGATAGAGTCCAGTGCGAGCTCTGCATTAATATGAAAGGTCCATTCAACACTATCTTTATTACATGTTGTGTTAGGAATGATTGGATTAGGCCAAATATTTGCCCAGAGACCGCAATACACCACTTTTAGTCTAATCTGACTCTTGTAAAGATAAATCATAGCAGAAGCAGTCAGCTACTTTCTGGAATGACAGAATCATATTTGTTGCCATATTCACAATGTTTTGGCTGTTGTATGCTTCAGCCTTCTTTAGGTGATTGGAATTTTGAACTGAACCCTTTATTTTGTCCACTGGGGCTAAATTGTTCTAGTTCCATGTGCCATGCCTCTTACAGATATCTCAGTATCAGTTATCTCCCTTTAACTCAACTCTCCAAGTTTTTGTTCACTTCAGCTGTAGCCAGGTATTGAAATCACAACTCTTTCGGTCAATTCACTGGATTCAACCAACAGTTTTATGCACCTGACCCAATGACGAAGGCCAGAGTGTACAATGGCCGAAACATTGTGAATATGGCAACAAAGATGGGAAGAACAGTCCAAACAATGTAAATAGTACAAAGAATTAAATTTCTTTTGTCAAAAAGCCATCAAACAAATTAAAAATTCTCTGCTGTTTGTGATATTTACATGCATACATATATATATATATATATATATATATATATATATATAGATAGATAGATAGATAGGTAATAAAAAATCAAAACCATGGGTGTGTTTCTATCCAGTGTCTAAAGATTTTATTACTTATATATTTATTAATAGCTCTACAGGTTAGTGTTTCTTTGTTATTGAGCACTTTTTTAATACACACGTTTTTAAACAGCTCTTTTTAGTTTGTTTACTTGTTTTTACACACACACACACACACACACACACATATATATATATATATATATATATATATATATATATATGTATACTAGCAGTAGAGCCCGTGTTGCTCGGGGATGTAACAGTAAGAGATAGATCAAGTATCAACCATCATAAAGCTGAAAAATAAAATTGACAAAGATTATTGTTTAAGGTTGATGGACACGCATGTCTTAATTAGTTTTTTTTGTTTTTTTGTTTTTTTTTTTTTTTTTTTTTTTACGGATTGGTCAAACCCAAACTCAAACAAAAATATTGTTTTCAATCGTTATGAGTCTACCGATTGAATAGAATTTTATTATAAACAATTGTCTTGTAAATGGAATTTTTAAAGCATTCTGAATGTAAAATAAAGAAAAAGTGCAAGACAATAAGAAACACTACCTGCCAAAAAAGTGAATTTTGTTGAAATCGGTTGAAAAATGTAGGAAATCCGATCCCATATATAAATGAACACACACACACACACACACACACACAACCTGGGTTTTATAATAAGTATAACTCGATATAAGTTGTTCTCCTTTCATTCTTGCGATAGCGATGCCTCTTAATCGTGTTTCCAAATTGATTTTGTGCAAAAACAATTGTGTTTTTCCAATTTTTGGCGATGTCAGAACCACCGCACGGTAATTTTACGTAGTCCTGTAAAGTTTTGTTGAAATCGGTTGAAAAATGTAGGAAATTCGATCCAATATATAAACGTACAGACACACACACAACCTGGGTTTTATAATAAGTATGATATATATATACACATACATATATAATAGGCTGATGGAAGAAATTCAAGAGATTAAAAAACAACAAAAATAATAATATTAATAATATGTCTAATAATATTTCTTGTACATTAGTCAATCTTTTTTATCTAAATGGAAGCATGATGGAAAAGATGTTAAGAAATAAAAAATGAAGTGGGACTTCTTTTTTCCAACATGTTATATTACTGAAGAGATCTGCTAGTTTTAAGCTAATTGTTTGTGAGGATTAGGGTTGTTGAGTTATTTTTTTGTGGAAATTGCCATGATTATGATTGTAGAGGATTTTGGGGAAATTGCCATGATTATGATTGTAGAGGATTTTGGGGGAAATTGCCATGATTATGATTGTAGAGGATTTTTGGGGGAAATTGCCATGATTATGATTGTAGAGGATTTGGGGGGAAATTGCCATGATTATGATTGTAGAGGTTTTTTTGGGGAAATTGCCATGATTATGATTGTAGAAGATTTTGGGGGAAATTGCCATGATTATGATTGTAGAGGATTTGGGGGGGAAATTGCCATGATTATGATTGTAGAAGATTTTGGGGGAAATTGCCATGATTATGATTGTAGAGGTTTTGGGGGGGGAAATTGCTATGATTATGATTGTAGAGGATTTGGGGGGGGAATTGCCATGATTACGGTTGTAGAGGGCTTTTTGTGGAAATTGCCTTAATTATGGTTATAAAGGATTTTTTCTGTGGAAATTGCCATAATTATGATTGTAAATGATTTTTTTGTGGAAATTGCCTAAATTCTTATTTAAACCTAGAATGTGTAAATTTATTTTAAATTGGCCAGTAGCGTAGCTAGGGGGGAAGGGCGGGTGACAGCACAGGAGGGGTGACACAATGTCACCCCCAACAAAATTTTTCAACCAGGCTAAGGTGCCAAAAATAGTCTGAAAACAGTGGTGGAGACACAGGGTTTCACAGGCTAGCATATGACTCCCCAGATATAATTTATGCCCCCCCAGTTTTGTCCCCCCGTCAGAAATTTTCTAATAAATTGTCGGGAAATTTGTGAGTAGGAAAAATAGCAATTTTTTCAGCTTTTGATTTGAAGTGATTATTTTGTGGTATTGGATTTTGTCTTGGATCATACATGTAAACAGTAATGTACCGGTCAGTAGAGTAAAGTAGAGGTATGAAAATTTAGCTACAGCTAACCATTCAGCATAGGTGAACTGGGGTCATTGGGGTGACATTTGAGCGGACCGCCCGGGTGACATTTACCGAGCTACGCCACTGATTACATCTACATATAAGAAGTACAAATGGACAATCTATCATTACTATATATATATATATATATATATATATATATATATATATATATATATATATATATATGATGGACTCTCCTGTCATATTCGACATATGAGTCAATCAGCTCAGCTCCTAACTGACAGCCATACACCAGCACATATGATTTGATTATAGTGCTGAAGGCTTTGTGCAGAACCATCCACACTTTTTGAAGGGCTGAATACAAAGACCTGGTGCATTACATGCCATAAGGTCCCCAAACAACTCTCCGCAGGTTTTGAATTCAGAGTTATCCTTCTCTTAGACCAGTTGCCATCCAAGGCTATAGAAACCAGTCTGTCCTGCTATTTACCCATAGATATCTGAGCTGATATCCACTACTCCACCATGCCCCCTTTTTATGTATATACATATGTATAAAGATTTTTGTAATTTAACTTAATTTTTTTTATTTTAAAAATTTAGTTAAAGTTGAATGTAGCATATAAAAACATGTCTACAATGTATATGCAATGAAGTACAGTAGCATGACTGATGTCTTTTATTTATTTACTTTTCAGCTTTATTTTTAGTTGAACCAATTTGCTTGCCCCGAGAAATCTTTGCTTTGGCATTATTTTCCAAATTCTTGTGGAGACAATGGCAGATCTGGCAGAAGATGAATATGCCAAACCCCTTTTTGTCAACGGAAGATACGAAAATCCTTTCCCTACCTGGAAACAACCAGGATTCTTTAATTTGTGTAAATATTTTTTATATGATACGGATGAAAGCAGCATACTGAGCCAAGAGGTAAGTAAATTGTTACTTTTATAAAATGGTGGTCCTATTTTTGTGCTTTGTCAGTTTCATCATTTTTAAATATCATGTCTTCATGTGTCTGTTCATGGTGTTGTGATTTTTTTTAATTATTTATAACATAAATTTGCCAGCTTATTGGATGCAGATTTAAAAAAAAAATATGTGTCTGAGAGGGACATGAAAACCACAAAAAAAGTGGGGTTTACTCGAAATCAGTGCACACATAGAGCTTAACTCTGAAACTAGTTAACCTGGAAGTGAACAAACAAGATATCAATAAAAATATCCTTGAAAAATTCACTGGAGAAAAAAAAAATTAAGAAATTTATGGAATTGCACAATATTATGCTGTTTGTTTTGTACAAATTCTAGATTTTACATAAATATTTGCTTTGACTGGTCTATTGCTGCTTGTTTTGTGTGTGTGTGTTTTTGTTCATTCATTGGTATTGGAATTTGTTTTTCTGTATGTATGCTATGAGACTTCTTTAACCAACAAGTACCATATTTCTGGAGATTTTATGCCTATTACCATATGTACCAATGTTCACTGATGCCTATAGATTTCTTTGTAGCTATTAAGAATTTATTGTATGTGCAGATGTTGCTCCCTGAAAAACAACAAAAACAATTTTCAATAAAGGCATGATGAAATGTTCTTAAATTCTTCTTTTCCAACAAATGTCCGGGTAATTAAACCTTACCTCACTTCTATTAAAAAAAAGTACCAGTTGTATAATTTGTGTTAATACTGTAAGTGTTTCTTTATGGTTAGTGAGAAGGTCGCATAAAGGTAAGGTTATAATTTTTTTTGGTTGTGATGTGTACATTTTTTTTCCCTAAATATTCCATGCCAAAAATCTGGGTACATCCAATGTGTGAGTGGATCTAATAGGCTGGCAAATATGGTATTTAATATATTTATCCATAAATTTTGTAAATTATTTTGATATTGAAATGTTTGTTTTTATGCATAGTGGTGGCATAGTGGAGTAATGGATAACAGCTTGGATTGAAGAATCAACGAGTTGTTCGAATTCCAGTCAAATCCATTACATTCACTTATGTGCTAATAACCTTGGGAAAGGTATGAATCCTTGTCTTCTCCCCCCCAGCTATGGGTAAATAGCAGGACAGACTGGGTTTTATAGCCTTGGATGGCAACTGGTCTACTGCAGAAAGAAATATCAACCTACTGCAGGAAAAAATTTACTTTGTCAGTCATGGCATTGAAAGATACATGATCGCCTAAGCATGTATCACACACATAACTGACTTTTTTTATGTATAATGAATCACTCCTGGTCAGACTGAGAACTTATGTTGACCTATCTATTTGTCTTGACCTACCTATTTGTCTTGACCTATCTATTTGTCTTGGCTAAACAAGTAGATGCATCCTTTAGTTGCATATTATTTATCTCTCTGTTTTTTATTTTTTGACAGGATCTTGATACGAATCTTCCTGTATTGCAACCAGACTTCAAGGACTTCCATTCCTCGCCACCTGATATAATGTGTGTTATTTGGCTTGGTCATTCATCCCTTTTGGTCAAGTTCGATGGTGTCACGATTTTGACTGACCCTATCTTCAGCAAAAGGTGCTCTCCCTTCCAGTTCATTGGGCCAAAACGGTTTCGTGATGCTCCTTGCCAAATTTCAGATTTGCCTCCCATAGACATTGTGATCATCAGCCACAACCATTATGATCACATGGATTATGAAACAATTGTAAATTTGCAGAAAAAATACAAATCTAGCTTGACGTGGTTTGTTCCAATGGGAGATAAAAGATGGATGGAGGCATCTGGTTGTACAAACGTCAGGGAGATGACCTGGTGGCAAGAGGAAATACTTGCTGATCACATTGGGATCACGGTAGCATGTTTACCTTGTCAGCATTGGAGTTCAAGAAAAGGCTACCTGGGAGTCAATCGAGTAAGTAGTTTTGTGTAGGATCCTCATCTTTCTTGTTTGGATTATAACATGACTTTTCCTTTATGAAATCCAAAGAAGAATATTCAATGTTATTGGTCCTGACCTGGCATCTCAGCTTTCCAACTGCTGTAATATAGCTTTGCTATGCCTTTTCTATAAATACTTTCATAGTAATTGTTCTGATGAACTTTCCTCTATGGTATCTAGACTTTATGAATTTAAGCACAGTCCTAGATTGACAGCAAAGTCTCATCAATTTACATTTGAATTGGCAAGAGATACAACCGTAAGTTCTATGCTAATAGTTTCTTCTATCACACTTCTCAACTGTGGAACTCTCTTCTGGCTTCTTGCTTCCCAGTCAATTTTGATCTTTAAAAATTTAAATGTAATGTCAATTGTTATCTACTGTCTTCTTAATTCCTCTTCTTTTATTGTTCTCTCTTAGTTCCAATCTAGACTGCAAAACACTTTCCACTCCCCAATTTATAAGCAGAAGGTCCCAAATGCATGCTGGGATTTCTTCCTAGCCAATAAAATAGGCCAGTTCTTGGTGTCATCTGACTCAGTCCTGGTCTGTGTTGTCTTGAAGTCAGATCTCTATGTTTGTTTATTCAAATTTGCTCTTGTGTGTCAACCCCAATTCTTTGTTTGTGAACTTTTTGCCATATTACATTCACTTTGCCATAATCATGTTTGTTTGCTTGCATTATATTATTTTTTTCCCTGTTCTTTTCTTGTTATTACAAACTTTGTCAATTTTGTTGATTGGACATTTCTGTCATCTATTTTACATTTAACCATGACCATTCACTCTACATTTTCCCTACTTAATAATAGTTTTTCTCATATTTTCTCAAAATCAGTAACTTCTTGCATCCTAGTGGCTTTATTGCCTTGCTTGGAATGAAATGATAAAAAATATAGATATTCCATGCACATGCATTACAGCCAAATGTGCATGAAATAATGATCCAACCATTTTTAAAAAATTCTGATGGACGAATGCTATATAGATATATATCTAATAGACATTTTAAGATTGAAATTAAAATGATTAATTAATTTTCATTTATAAATATTATGAAGCATTTTATAATTTTAAAATGTAATAATTAATTAGCATTTTAAAATGTAATAATTTTTTTTTTTAAATTATGAATGAAACATAAATGCAAATTGATAATATGACAATTTTGATTATTATATGATATTTAGCTCATATACATCAGCCTGACATGACATTCTATTATATTTTCTTAATCTTACTTATTATAAAACGTAGATTGTGTGTGTGTGTGTGTGTGTGTGTGTGTCTGTACGTTTATATATGGGATAGTATTTCCTACATTTTTCAACCAATTTCAACAAAACTTCACTTTTTTTTGGCAGGTAGTGTTTCTTATTGTCTTGCACACTTTTTTCTTTATTTTTACATTCAGAATGGTTTAAAAATTCCATTTACAAGACAATTATTTATAATAAAATTCTATTCAATCGAGAGACTCATAACGATTGAAAACAATGTTTTTGTTTGAGTTTGGGTTTGACCAATTCGTAAAAAAAACCAAAAAAAAACAACAAAACAAAAAACTAATTAAGACATGCGTGTCTGTCAACCTTAAACAATAATCTTTGTCAATTTTATTTTTCAGTCTTTGGTCAATACTTGATCTGTCTCTTACTGTTACATCCCTGGGCTAGTAATTTTATATAATTACATTTAAGAGACTGAATTAATGTGCCAAAACTTTTATCTGAAGAAAAGATAATGGAAATGTTAGAAGACATAATGGAAGCATCAGAAACCATCTTCCTCTCTCAGCAATTTTCTATAAATACTTTCATGGTAATTATTCTGGTGTGCTTTCCTCTTGGGTTTCATTTTTTAATGTTGTTACTTTTATCAAACAGATAAATTGTACATAGGGGACTAGGACTTCATAGAGACTATGAGGTATTATGGTGACTGTAGTAAGAATAGTAAGTAAGAATTTGTTGTTTTGGTGTAAGGAATACTCTGGTATGTTTGGGTCAGTGTTTGTGGCTAGCTAAGTTTAAGATAAGACAGATTGAAAACCAGCTTTCCCCTATCCCCACTCTTAGCATTGTGCCACATATTTGTATTACTCTAAATAAATACTGCTTTCCTCTAGGGTACCCAGACTTTATGAATTAAAGCACTGTCTAGATTGTCAGCTAGCTTTCATCATACTACAGTTGAAATGGCAGATATAACTGTAAATTCTATGCTAACAGTTTCTTCTCATGCAATTCTCATTTGGGAAACTCTCTTCTGGCTTCTTGCTTTCTAATAGACTTTGATCTTCAGAAATTTAAATGCAATGCCAATTATTGTCTTCTGCCTTCTTGATTCTTGCTCTTTTATTGTCCTCTCTCCTTAATTGTAGTTTTTTTTAATATTCTCTAGCACTCAGTAACCCCTTCCATCCTTATTGCCTTGCTTGGAGGGAAATGATTAAAAAAAGAGAAACAAGAAAAACAAGATTGGTGGCAAGATCTCATTATTTTACAATTGAAATGGCCGCTAGATGTAACTGTAAGTTCTATGCTAACAGTTCCTTCTATCACACTTCTTGCTTGTGAAATGCTTTTCCAGCTTCTTGCTCTCCAGTCAACTTTCATTTTTAAAAAATTTAAATGCAATGTCAATCGTTATCTTCTGTCTTCTTAATTTTTGTTCTTTTATTGTCCTCTCTCCTTAATAGTGTTTTCTTTTTCTCATATTCTCAATTTGATATTGAAAAATTTAAATGCAATGTCAATCATTATCTTCTGTCTTCTTAATTTTTGTTCTTTTATTGTCCTCTCTCCTTAATAGTGTTTTTTTTCTCATATTCTCAATTTGATATTGAAAAAAATTTAAATGCAATGTCAATCGTTATCTTCTGTCTTCTTAATTCTTGTTCTTTTATTGTCCTCTCTACTTAATAGTGTTTTCTTTTTCTCATATTCTCAATTTGATATTGAAAAATTTAAATGCAATGTCAATCATTATCTTCTGTCTTCTTAATTTTTGTTCTTTTATTGTCCTCTCTCCTTAATAGTGTTTTCTTTTTCTCATATTCTCAATTTGATATTGAAAAATTTAAATGCAATGTCAATCGTTATCTTCTGTCTTCTTAATTCTTGTTCTTTTATTGTCCTCTCTCCTTAATAATGTTTCACTTTTTCTCATATTCTCAATTTGATATTGAAAAATTTAAATGCAATGTCAATCGTTATCTTCTGTCTTCTTAATTCTTGTTCTTTTATTGTCCTCTCTCCTTAATAGTGTTTTCTTTTTCTCATATTCTCAATTTGATATTGAAAAATTTAAATGCAATGTCAATCGTTATCTTCTGTCTTCTTAATTCTTGTTCTTTTATTGTCCTCTCTACTTAATAGTGTTTTCTTTTTCTCATATTCTCAATTTGATATTGAAAAATTTAAATGCAATGTCAATCATTATCTTCTGTCTTCTTAATTTTTGTTCTTTTATTGTCCTCTCTCCTTAATAGTGTTTTCTTTTTCTCATATTCTCAATTTGATATTGAAAAATTTAAATGCAATGTCAATCGTTATCTTCTGTCTTCTTAATTCTTGTTCTTTTATTGTCCTCTCTCCTTAATAATATTTCACTTTTTCTCATATTCTCAATTTGATATTGAAAAATTTAAATGCAATGTCAATCGCTATCTTCTGTCTTCTTAATTCTTGTTCTTTTATTGTCCTCTCTCCTTAATAGTGTTTTCTTTTTCTCATATTCTCAATTTGATATTGAAAAATTTAAATGCAATGTCAATCGTTATCTTCTGTCTTCTTAATTCTTGTTCTTTTATTGTCCTCTCTCCTTAATAATGTTTTTTTTTTTCTCATATTCTCAATTTGATATTGAAAAATTTAAATGCAATGTCAATCATTATCTTCTGTCTTCTTAATTTTTTGTTCTTTTATTGTCCTCTCTCCCTTAATAGTGTTTTCTTTTTTCTCATATTCTCAATTTGATATTGAAAAATTTAAATGCAATGTCAATCGTTATCTTCTGTCTTCTTAATTCTTGTTCTTTTATTGTCCTCTCTCCTTAATAATGTTTCACTTTTTCTCATAGCCTTTCACACTCAGTAACCCCTTGTGTCTTATTGGCTTTATTGCTTTGCATGGGGTGAAATGATAAAAAAAATTCAACTAGTGTTCTTTCTAAGATTGATTATTGTCATTATCTCAGGAATTATTTTGACATGTACTTATTTTTCTTGTAGGAATGGTTATGTAGGTCTGTTCATTGGTCAAAGATTATTTGTAATAGTGGAAGGATTGTTCTAGGTAGCAATACGCTGCAAGAAAATCAGGTGGTTATGCGGGAGGTGCAATGGATAGGAATTAGGAATGAGAAATTGGAGAGCCATGTTCAAATTCTTGTCAGGTTTGTTACATTCACTTACATGCAAATACACTTGCAAAAGGTATGAATCCATTGCTTGCCTCCCCAACTATGGGTTAAATGGTAGGATCGTTTCTGGAAAAAAATCATTGTTGCATACATACATACATGCATACATACATACATACATACATACATACATACATACATAGCCATTTTTTTTGTTGAGGGAGGAGTAGCATTAATCTTGCACAAGACAAGGTGGGGCCAGCCAGACAGTTTATTTGTCATAATAATTTGAGGCAAGGTTTTACAAGTTTGGATGCCCTTCCTGATTCCTAACTCAACCTCTCTTGCAAACCAAACTTTTGTCTACTATTTTAATTTTATACAAACTAAAGCTTTGTCTACCTTTTTGACTCTTGTGTAAACCAAATCTCTGTGTAACATTTGGAGTCTCGTGCAGACAAGACCTATGTCTACCTATCTATTATATGACAATATTTGGCATTAAATAACCTGGACTGCTGAAACATGTCATGAAACCAAACCAAAATTTTTGTCAAATGACCAACAATGATAATGATGTTAGTCAGAAATAATGAAAATGTTTCATTTCACAATTTTTAGACAAAACTGAGATTTTCTTCACAAATTAAGATGGAATAAAAATATTCTTCCTTGGTAACTAACCATTGACCTAAATTCTTCATTTTAATATTATGGCTTCTCTGTACAAAAAAAAAAGTTCATTGATTCCTGTTTTTTAGAGTTTGTGGAGCAGTTGGTGTGTAATTGGACCAACACAGAGATTCTACTTTGCTGGGGACACAGGATACTGTGAAGCATTCAAACAGATTGGACATCGCTATGGACCCTTTTCTCTTGCAGGAATTCCAATTGGAGCATATAAGCCAAGGTAAGACACTAAATTATGTATCTCAAGGTTGGGGTTGTTAGATATACTGTTATCTGCAGTGGATTGTATATACTTGTAATGATGTAATGACTGTATATACTTGTAATCATTGTACATCTAATGATATAATGATTGTATATACTTGTAATCATTGTAATGATTTATATATTTGTAATGGTGACAATGGTTGATGATGTTATTTTAAGACTGCTTCCATGTTTAACTTTGTAGAAGTATTTTGGACAAATGTCCTTTGTTTCAATAATTGAGGTTTGCAATAATTGATTATGTAGAGTGAGTGGCCGTGGTTAAATGGCAGAAGTGTCCAACAAACAGATTTGACAAAGTTTGTAATAAGCAACAACAAGAAAAAAAAGAAAAGAACAGAGTAAAAAATAATACAAAGCAAGCAAACAATATATGCAAGCCAAATTAACAGTAATAAGGCGAAAAGTTCACAAATTAAGAATTGGGGTTGACACATAATAGCAAGTTTGAATAAGCGAACGTAATATTCTGATTTCAAGACAAGACAAACCAGGACTGAATCTGATGAAACCAAGAACTGGTCTATTCTACTGGTTCGGAAGAAATCCCAGCATGCATTTGTGTGCTTCTACCCTATAAATTGGGGAGGGGAAAGTGTTTTGCACTCATTTTACCTCCCCCACCCCGCTTTTATGAGACGAATAAATACAAACAAGATACACATAAATATTTACAATTTGCATATATATATATATATATATATATATATATATATATATATATATATATATATAATATTGATTTTCAACTTTTAATATTTCAAAACTTTTTTATATGTATTTTTTCATATTGTTACGAGGATGCATTTCTATAATAAGGGATTCCACTGAGTTCTACTTGTTATTACAAAAAAAGTTTTCATTCATGAAGTAGTTGTAAAATAGAGAAATTAGAAATAGAATGTTTGTAAGATTCTAGATCATTCTAGTATATTCGAGAAAAATCTAGATGATTCGAGAAACATCTAGAAATATGCAAATTAGGTGTTAGCCCCTATAAAAATGGGATTTTGGAAAAGGGCTGTTATCAACTCCGGCTTTTGATTCGAGGACTATTATATCCAGCCGAAAGAATCTCTATAAAAAGTTGCCGACCAACCAAAACCCAAAAAAGAATTTCATGGAACAAAGTTGGTAAATAGAATTTTGACTAATTTTCATTGACCAAACTAAAAATTAATATTTATTTACACACCTTTGTGGATTTCCAAATATAGCACTTAGATTACTTCACTAGCCCTAAAAAGTGATAAAGATATTTGATTCCCTTTCCTTCTTCCTCGTAACACTCCGCCAATAACTCTGTGTTTTCTGTTTTGTAGGCCACAATTGTTTATCCTGTATATATTTTATGTTCTGTTTTAGTAAATTAAATATTTGTTTGTGATTTAGCTCTGTGTTGTGGTAAATCATTTTTGTATTCCTTTGTTACAATTATCAACACGTAACTATATATATATATATATATCAACACGTAACAATATGTACTTCTATATATTTTCTCTTATCATTTTTTTGTTTTTTCTTTTAAATTTTTTTTTTTTTAGTATTTCATAACATTTTTTGTTTTACTATTTTTTTAAAATATATATAAAAGGACAGGTTTTTCCTTTAAAGGAAACCGTAATGGTGATATTTGATGTCCCTGTAGGAAACATTCAACTTTCATTGACAGAATAGTTACCGTTAAAACATTCATTCATTTTAATCACTTAACACATTTTGCGCTGCTGCAGTCGTCAACACTCTCCTCCGTCTCGCAATTATAGTTCATGGGGATATTCAAGACAATATAGTGCAATGATTTGCCGGTTCCTTTTGCACCAGAGATATTAAGGTTACTCTATCCCTCCTCTCAGACACAGATTTGTTTTTGAAGTTACCTCCTAGTTTTTGTCTAAAGAGCAGGACCTATAAGACAGCAGGTGGTTTGAATTCAGTTTCCTTCTCCTAGACCGGATGCCATTCAAGGCTATAAGACCTAGTCTGTCCTGCTATTTTACCCATAGGTGGGGAGAGAAGAGACGGATTTTTACCTATCTCAAGGGTATTAGCACAGAAGTGAATGTAATGAACTTGATTGGAATTTCAACTTGGCTCTTTGATTCCTCAATCCAAGATTCTATCCATTACTCCAAAATTACTGTCAGTTGAAATTTATATAATATTTTTCTTAAAACAGTTTTTTCAGGAAATTAGGCTTTTCAAGTATCCTCTCATCTGTCTGTTGATGGCTAAGATAGTTGTGTAAATTCCTCTGGCACTTACTGTTGTTGGTGTTCAGGTAAAGGTCAATTAAATTCTCTTTACCACTTGGCTTTGTGTCAGACTAAGATTAATAAATATCTAGAATATTCTCTGCCATGTTTAGTAATTTTCTAAAAATTATTTTCTGTTCTTTTTTTTAAAAAATTTCACAGGTGGTTTAAACAAGCACAACATGTGGCGCCAGAAGAATCTGTTCAGATTCACCTGGATGTTCGATCAGAGAAATCCATTGGAATTCATTGGGGGACATTTAGATTAACTCACGAGGTAAGAGAGTAAGTGAAATTTATAAAAAAAGTAATGTCTAATTTTACAGGCAATTTTATTCTCATTAAGGGTCCCAGAAAAAATTCATCTATCTCTTTCCAATTCTAAGTACATTTTTTGCAAAGTTTCACTCAATTGGCAATGTTTGTTGCCTTAAAAACGATGATCAGAATTTTAATAAAATCCAAAAATATGAAAATAATTTGTACATTTTCTTTGTTCTTTGAGAATTTACAACAAAAATATTAAACAATATTTATTTATTAAATGTTTTTTTCCAAACATAATTTTATTTACATTATTTGGACTGTTATCCTCATCTTCATTGCCATATTCACAATGTTTCAGCCGTTGTATGCTACGGCCTTCTTCCGGTGACTGGAATTTTGAACTGAACCATTTATTTCGTCCACCAAGGTAGAATGTTCTAGTTCCACGTGCCATGCCTCTTCCAAATGTCTCAGTTATTTCCCTTTAACTTAACTCTCCAAGTTTTTTGGTTCACCACTGCTGTAGCCTAGTATTGAACTCACAACACTTTGGGTCTAGTCACTGGATTTAACCAATGCCTTTATCCACTGAACCATGTGTCCGTGAGGAAACATTGTGAATATGGCATTGAAGATGAGGATAAAAGTCAGAATAATGTAAATAATGTTAATACCTCATCTCAGAGATATAGAGGCCAAAACGTTGTGAATATGGCAATGAAGATGAGGATAACAGTCCAAATAATGTAAATAATGTAAATAATCATAATACATCATCTCAGAGATATAGAGGTTGAAACATTGTGAATATGGCAATGAAAATGAGGATAACAGTTAGAATAATATAAATAATGCATGTAATCATAATACCTTGTCTTAGAGATATAGAGGCTGAAATGTTGTGAACATGGCAATGAAGATGAGGATAACAGTCCGAATAATGTAAATAATCATAATACCTCATTTCACAAAAATAGACAGATAAGATTAATTTTATATTCTAAAAATGTGAACCAACTAATGCAATGCAATGATTATCATTTGTTAACTTATAAGGAAATAAATTTTTCCTTTATAATTCATTGAGATTTTATAAAATTATGAATCAAAAACTTGTTTTCCTATTCTTATATTTTATTTATAAAATGATAAATAAAAATATTGCATTGTAGATGGTTTACATATTTTGATAATTTTGTAATTTTGTTTTATAAATTTTTGACATTTGAAGATACATTCATAAAAGTATATTACAAAAATGATATCTGATAATGCCTTTCACCACTGCGTTTCTTCAGATGGATAACGAAAAATGTGTTGTGTGTGTTTAACATAATTAAATTTTTTATTATTTTTCCCAAGCTGACATTGCTTAAGACTAAAAAGAGAAAAAAAATGAGTGACTGTTGGGATTACACACCCAAATTTATTGCATATATATATATTTATAAATCAACAATTCGCCTTTGCTGTCATATATGGTCTGGAGCCCCTTCTGTTTGCCTCGGGGTTCTTGATAGGCTCCAGAGGCGGATATGCAATATAATCGGCCATGATCTGGCATCTCGTCTACAGTCACTTTCTCACAGATGCGCTGTCACCTCTCTCTGTCTGTTTTACAAATACTTTCATGGCAATTGCTCCGAGGAGCTGCATTCTCTGGTTCCTAGACTTCATGAGTTCAAGCGCCCTACGAGGCTGGCATTCAGCTCTCACCCTTTCACTGTCAAAACTCCTAAATGTAGCCGTCTCTTCTACTCCAACAGCTTCATGTCTCGCACCTCTCACCTGTAGAACTCCCTTCCCTATTCCAGTTTCCCTGAGAGCTATAATCTCCAGCTATTCAAATGTAATGTCAATCAACATCTCCAGTTGCCTTGATCTATCCACTATCCTTCTCCTCATCCTTTCTTCTATCACTCCTATCTGATCTTGCTTTAAATTTTCTGTAACCCCTTGCATCCTAGTAGCTTCTTGCCTTGCTTGAGGTGAAACGCTTAAAAATATATATATATATATATATATATATATATATATATATATATATATATATATATATATATTAAAAGTTTCTGTCTGTCTTTCTTTCATTCTTTCAGTCTTTATTTCTTTCATTCATTCATTTATTCTTTCCTTCTTTCTTTTTTTACTTTGTTTCTGTTTATCTTTCTTTATTTCATTCCTTTTTTCTTTTCTGTCTGTCTTTCTTTCTGGCATTCTTTCTTTATATATATATATATATATATATATATATATATATATATATATATATATATATATATAATGCATTTCAAAAAAGTGACTCATTTACTTTCTCTTTTTAGTCTTAAGCAATGTCATCTTAAAAAATAATAAAAGATTTAATTATTTTAAACACACACAAACGCCTAAACACACAACACATCTTTCGTTATCCATCTGAAGAAGCAGAAGAGGCAAAATGCATTATCAGATATCATTTTTGTAACATACTTTCTTGGATGCTTAATATCAATAACTTATAACTCTTTCGGGATTATATACCCAAATTTATTACATAAATTTTTTAATAAAAAGATTTCTTTTCAAGTTTATTTCTTTATAAAATGGTAATTAATAAATCTTTGTAAAAGGTAAATAGTAAATATTGCATTGTACTTGGTTCACATATTCTTATAATCTTGTAAATAAACATTTCCGAGGGAGGAGGAGGAGGAGTAAAAAATAATAGCAGTGTCAAAGGAAAAACGGTCCTTTTCACAGATCGTTTTCTTTGCAGCCATGAAGGTTAAAGTTTGCCAGTTCATTTCATGAACCACAAGGTTTAAAAAAAAAACATATTTCTCTCCCTTTAACTTTCCAAATATTAAAAACGATTAAAATTTAAATGTAATGTCAATCGTTATCTTCTGTCTTCTTAATTCCTGTTCGTTTATTGTTCTCTCTCCTTAATAATGTTTTTCTTTTTCTCATATTCTTTCATACTCAGTAACCCCTTGCATCTTAGTAGCATTATTGCCTTGCATTGGGTGAAATGATAAAAAAAAATTTCATCTAGTTTACTCTCTAAGATTGATTATTGTTATTATTTCAGGAAATTTTTTTTTTTTATCTACAATTTTTTTCCATCCTCCTGACCGCACACTGCATCTCCTCTTGGCAATTTATGGTCCTATCAATATAGGTAGAAAAAAACAAATATTGAAATAGTTAGCAAGGATTATAAAACACTGCCTGAGTCCAGGGCAATGCTTTAGTATGCACTGACCCTGACTAAAATAACCTTATGTTAATAATAAATACTTAAAAAAAAAAAATCCATCAATTCTGTTAAAAAGTTCCTTCATTAAAAAAAGTTCCATTAGGTGCCATTCTGGAATTAGCTCAAGTTTCATAGTAGATAAACCACTACATGCATTCCAATGAAAATTTTGTGGAAGAATTACAGAAAATTATAATTCGTACTTTAAATGTTCCTGAAAAATAATTTCTTCACATAAAATATAACAGATTTTCAAACCAATTGCATAATCTTCTAACTGGGTTTATCTGCCTCCATCTTGAGGTCAGTCTTTTTCATTGTTCTTTTATTTTGAATATTTGACAGCATTATTTGGAGCCAAAGGAGAAGCTTAGGGAAGAAATGGAGAAACAAAACCTTTCCCCTCAAGATTTCTTCACGTTGAATCACGGAGAAATTCATCTTATTTGCAACCAAAAACCAAACGAGCATTCTTCTGAAAACTGCTGACAACAGAGCCTGATAAGGGAGATAACTCTGGAATGAACTTCTTTGAGCAAGAAAGGCTTGATTATTGATTCTCATTGAAGTTTTGACAAACATGGACCTTTGTGCCTGCAAAAAAAAATGGAGTGTCAAGAGGACGGTTTTTCCAATGACACCTCTTTTATTTTAACTATGTTCACTCCCCCCATTCTGTGCGACTAATTTAACATTGATACTTGTTCTAACCATTCTAACCTAACTTATAACACTATATGTTTGTGTAGTTGGAAATCCCCCCCACCTCGAAAGAAGGGAAAAATGTCTCTTCACCAGGCATTAGTATGTCTTCAGTATTCTTATGGTCCACTGGCCTTGTCTTTTGCTAGATAAAATTTGATCTAACATGAAATTTTTAAAGCCATTCGTTTCTCCTAGAGGTTTAAAATTTTATTAAAGCAAATTTCCCCAAGCCCACTGCTGGTGGCGGGTAGGAATGGTTGCTGACCTCTCCCCCACCCCCTCCAACACTGCGTTATCTGTAACCTGATGCTTGGGCACTGAGATATGGTTGGCTGTACACTCAGTGGCGTCCATCAGAATGCAAGCGGACATTCACTTTCTGCCATGTGTGAGTATAAATTTATTCTACCAGAGACACATCCAAAAGCATCTCTCTCTCTCTCTCTCTCTCTATATATATATATATATATATATATATATATATATATATCAGATGTTTGTTTTAAAAAGCAATGATTATAATTGTAATAAAACCTAAACATATAAAAGTGAAGAATTTGTACATTTTCTTTGTTCTTGAGAATTGACAACAAAAATAATATTTATTATTTTAAAAAGCAATGACAAAACCTAAATATATACTGAAAGTGAATTTATACATTGTCTTTCTTCTTGAGAATTAACAATAAAAATAATAAATCTTATTTATTTATTAGATTCTTTATTTACACTATTTATTTATTATATTATTTATTGGAATGATTGACAAAACATTGGTTAATTCAAACCTTATAAAATGGTAAATAATAAGGATTTACTTAGAGTTGGTTCACATATTTTAATAATTTAGTAAATCTTTATAAATGTATGAATAAAAAATTGCTTTCATATTTATTTCTTTATAAATTGTTAAATAAATATTACATTCCATTTGTCTTAATAAATGTATTAGTTTTTTAGAACGTTGTAAATATAAAATTATTCTTGTAAATAAACAATCTAATAAACAGTGTTTAATATTTTTATTGTAAATTCTCAAGATCAAAAAAGTATAAATTCACTTTCATTCAGTTTTATTCCAATTTTAATCATCCCTTTTTAAAACAATAAACATTGCTGAGGAGTGAAGGTAGTTAAAAAAATAGTGGTGTCAAAGGCGTTTTTTTGACACTCCATATTTTTGTGGGCAGAAAGGACCATGTTTGCTGAAGTTTTCTATATGGATTTATAGAAATTTATTTCTGTACACCTCTATAAATATAAATAATTTTTTACATATTTATTGAAAAAAAATATTGTATATAAAATTATTGAGATATTTGTTATAACATTTTGTCTATTATTAAAAGGTATTTTAGTAATGTGATAATTGATTCAGATTGGCTTAGGGAAGATATGAAGCAGATGAGGATTTGAAAAATTGTAGAAGATGAAGCATTCTTGTTCTTTTTCATCTTGGTTGATTTTTATCACAATGTTTCAACCCTATATACCATCCTTCCTCAGAGGTCTGTTGTATCCAGTTAGCTTTTTGTCATCCAAAAAACTAGATGACCAGGGCTTGATATCAGATCTCTCCTCTGATCTATCTCTAGAAAATAGTGGAAAAACTGGCTGGTTACATTCAATCCCTCTTCATGAACAGGCTTGCATCTAGATCCTTTCACATGTACACGGGCATCCCCCAAGGCTCTATCCTGGGTCCTACACTGTTTGTTCTTCATCAATGAACTCCCTGATATCATTAGTTCTCAAATAGGCATTTATACAGATGACACTACCATTTACTCCTGTCTCAATAGCAAATCTGTCATAGTTGACAAACTTAACCTGGCCGCTGTTCTTGAAAAGGACCTCCAATCAGTGGTTAACTGCGGCAAGAAATGGCTTGTAAATTTTAATGCCTCCAAAACTAAACTGCTCTCAGTTAACAACCAGAGAGAAACTTTCCTGCTCACTGTCAGCATGGTTGATGCACGAATCTGTGAGAGCATCTCACTGTGCCTTCTTAGTCTCATGTTTTTGACTTGAAGTGGAACACCTACATTGAATCAATAGCTGCATTTACTGCAAGGAAAGTTGGGTCAATATGTCATGCCAGAAGTTTTTTCTCATCTTGCACATTTAAAAATTTACCATTCGTCTGTGCATTGAATACTGTTGCCATATCTGCTCCTGCTATTCATTTCAAGGTTCTTGACAAAATCCAAAAAAAGGATCTGCAATGTAATCAATCCCAACTTGGCATCTCAACTTCAGTCACTTTCTCACTGATGTGATGTGGCTTCCCTCTGTCTTTTCTACAAATATTTTCATGGCTACTGCTCTGATGAGCTTTTTTCCCTGATGCCTGGACTATGTGGGTTTAAGTGTGCTACTAGATTGGTATTTAGGTCCCACTCTTTTACTGTTGAAATAGTTAAATGTAACCTCCGCTTCTACTCTAACAGGGTCTTTTCTCATACTTCCATCTGTGGAACTTCCTTTCATTTCCTTGCTTCCCTAATAACTATAATCTTCAAAAATTTAAATGCATCATCAATCACCATTTTCTATCTTCTTGAACCCTATTCAGCTTTTATCCTTTACTTGGACCTCTTCTATACCCAGACTTATCTCCCACTTTCACTCTCTGTAACCCCCTGTCTACTAGTGGCATTCCCACCTTGCATAGGGTAAAATGATTAGAAAATATATATATATATATATATTGTGTTTGGTTTTATTAAACTAACTCAGACACATGCATTAATATATATATATATATATATATATAAGTTAAAGGTCAGAGTTCAATTATACTTTTCTCCTTCTCTCCTGCTTCTATCACACTTCCAGTCATGCATTTATTTATTTATTTTTAAATAATAAAGTGTTCATTAATTTTTAAAAAAAAGTAATAAAGCATTAGGAAATCAATTGACAAAAATCACCTGAAGATACTGAAAGGGTGAAACCAAAGTAGTGGGATCAGTTGATCTCCTAATTTTATATACATTATATTACATGAATCATTCATACAATCAACAGATATAGAAGTTAATGATTTAAATGGTGAGAATACATCTTCACCATTTAAATCATTAATTTCTATATCTGTTTTTTGTATGAATGATTCATGTAATGTAAATTGAACTGCACCTTAAACTTTATATATATATATATATATATATATATAGCTTCAAGCTATATTGATTTGACATCAGTCAGAGACTCTTACTCCTAGGCTATTGGTGCATACTATGGAGAAATGGAATTTTTAATGCATTATATACATGATATAAGCATTATCAGCTGTCTGAGTGCTCTATTCATTGCAAAGAGCTTAGCATTATAGCAGCAACAACCGTCAAATACCCTTTCTTCCATAGTGCTCAACCAACAAAAATGCAATCATTCTTACCTGGTTCCTGAAGACCTAGAAATTGTGAAACTCTGAGTTGGCATTTGATAAGCAAGTATCATGAATTTTCATTAATATTTACTGTATATGTTGGCATACAAGGTGACCTTTTAACATTAAAAAATCTACCACCAAAATAGATAACAGTCTTATACTCCAGCTATAAATTGTGAACCTTAAATCCTGTGGTTTATGGTAAATTGTTAGTACAGGAGATTTATAGCAGCAGGCTAATCCCTGCCTTGCCTCCATTTTTCAATGAAGTTGAACAAAAACACAACTGTTTGTGTGTCTCAACTAGCCATTTAAAGACCGCATTTGGAAATTAGGGATGAGTGGATGGTTACTGTAGAAAAGTCATTCAAGCTACCATAATAGCCTACTGAAAACATAGCACCCACTCGAGAGATTGTGCTAGTTAATTGACGATATCTCCCCATTGTCTTTTTTTATTAGAATTTAAGTGAAAAGGAAGTATATACTTACTGAATTTATTTAATAAATTCAATACATTTTAAAATATGATTTGGGGGAGGGTCATCTTGTATGGCAAATATAGCCCAAAACATACATTTTAACTTGAAAATTTGGGTGTCATCTTATATGCCCAGGTCTCCTTGTATGCTACCATATATGGTATATCTTTTATTTAATATAAATTTTCCTTCCAGTTCTTTCACTTGTGAATTTTTTTTCCTCACATTTCACTTTGCAGTGAAGAACTTGATTGTTTAAACATTTGTATCTAATTTTATAAATATATTTTTTTCTTGATTTTTCATAATTATTCTTGAGAATTTCACTTACTCAGCATATTTTAATTCAACCCAAATGGCATCAGATCTCAACAATGTATAATTTTAATTATCCTTTTCAATAATATTTTTTTAATTGTAATTGATGTATTTTTTTTAAAATGTGAATTACCTTTTAAAGTTACAACTAAATTATGTAAAATTCTTTGGAGTTATCTGTATGTTGTGCCTTATAAAAAGACAAGCAGCATTTTAGATGCTCAGTTATTATTCTGATAAATTCCTATTTGTTATTAAATAAAATATTTATTGAACTTGTCTCTACAAGTCATTTCTATAAAATCTAGTAAATTGCTAATATTTTCAAACTTGTCTTAAAACAAACATTTGGATTGCATCCTGAATTTTAACCATTTGCTATCTAATCTAAAATGATTAAAATGTATTCTTAAATGCAATTGGACCCTTTTGCAGTGTCTGTGTGGATGGGATCTGACGTGTCTTTTAATATTTATTCAATTTATGCTCTCTCTTATTAATTGTGACTTTTTGGCTGGAAATTATTCCTTTATATCATTAGCGTTTTCTCCAGAAAGATATTTCTATTTGAGATTTTTTACCATAAA